CAACACAAAAATAATTATTCAATTCGCACCAGTAGTTCCGGAGATTAGCGCGTTCAAACAAACAAACTCTTCAGCTTTATAATATTAGTACAGATTACTTATAGTTACAACACATATACGAGTATATTTATTGAAATATCTACCTAAAATCAGATTCATGATACCTTAAGGATGATTATGAAAAAATGGAAGAATAAAAAATGCGAACTAACTTTATATTATTATTTTTATTGTAATATCTATATAATTTAATCATTACCAGAGGGAGACTTTGTGCAAAAGTCGATTGCTTGGGTACCTCTGTCCCATTCGTGTTTCTACCGTGAAGCAGTTGTGTTTGCATGGCTGTGTTTCGGTTTGAAGGGTGGGATATGGCGTGAATTTACTTGGTACAGAAGAATAACATCTGGGTCCTCAGGAATGGCAACGCATGGGAGGTATCATGTGCGAAACAGTATACTCTGTTATGTCCATGGTACTGCTCATGTCTATAGGCGACGGTTACCACTTTCCAACAGGTGGGCCAGCAGATATTTTGCCATTCTAAGTTGCAAAAAAAAAAGTTTTGGAAATGTTTTAACAGGGACGCTGCTGCCCATCCCTTGTCCTACCTTAGTCGCGCCTTACGACACTCACGGGAAAAGAAAGGGTGGACTATTTTATGCCGAAACCATGTGGTCCATATCACTGATTATTTGATTACAATTATTTTGTTTAACCCCGCTAATTTTATTTATAATCTTCATAAGTTGTCAGTCTGTCACACACATTAACGTTAGCGGAATTAACCCTTATTTGCATGATTTTTTTTTTATTGGTGAAATAAATTAAGGTGATATAATTTAGATATATAGATAGATAGATACTCTTTATTGTTTCCTCCAAAAGATTACAATAGTAAACTTATTATAAATATAAATAATTACAAGAAATAATCACAATGACAAAACAATGGGCGACCTTATCGCTAAGAGCGATCTCTTCCAGGCAACCTTTGGATGGAGAGGAGTAATTATAAATAGTTTGGTGGGAGGCACGATGAAAGATTTTGTTAGTTCTAAATATGGGAGATGTGATACATACAATAATATAAATATTATCCCTACTCATTATTATATTTATATACATACACCTACACACACAATTTATGTTCAAAAAATAAAGGAAATATTGTTAATAAATAAATTTGACAGTTATGTTTTGTTTTTTTGCAATGGACATTAAAAAGGTATCCAGACACGATCAATATAAAACGAACTTTGTCTTTTATATATTTTTTGGGCGTTTAATGTTACTATAGAAATTACCACCATACATATATATATATATAAATATATATATATATATATATATATATATATATATATATATATATATATATATATATATACCATATTATAAAGAAGGGTTAAACAAATTAATTCTAACCAAATAACCAGTGAATCATGATCGTCAGAACCCTAACAAATTCTTACACGAGCAATAATGAAACTAAATATAAATACAGCTATGTCAACACTCATATGTGTAGATAGATACTGCGAAGTCTTTCTTTTGAACGGAACCAATCTTCGGACGCTCCCAGCGATTTCGCAAGATAAGCTCCTGACTATTAGGGAATTCAGCTCAGTTGTGTAGCAGCGAGGGTGAGGTGCGATACAAATAATGAGATGTCGGACTCACCTGTTGTGCACTGCACTAAGATTGATGGCGGAGCAGGCCTTTCCGATGTCGGCTCCTACTACCACACCGCAATGCTTGCCTAACGACTGGGTCAATCCATACATTTATTACACAGTATTGTAGTTATGTAAGTTTACGTTTCCAAATCGGTAAAACTTACTTAAAACTTATGTTGGTAAAATGGTATGTTTTACAGTTGTGTTTGCATGGCTGTGTTTCGGTTTGAAGGGTGGGATATGACGTGAATTTACAGGGTACAGAGGAATAACACCTGAGTCCTCAGGAATGGCAACGCATGCGGGGTATCATAGGCGAAACAGTATACTGTGTTATGTCCATGTCTATAGGCGACGGTTACCACTTTCCATTAGGTGGGCCGTCAGCTTGTTTGTCATTCTAAGTAGTATAAAAAAAAGATATGGTAAATCAATATAACGATGTATAATCATGTAGTGACTACTGTAATAGAGTATTGATTTAGCCAATTACTGCTAATATGAAAATGTCTTGCAATAATCGAATATTATGTAAGACACAGAGAAACTAGCTCATTATAATAAAAAAACATAGTCTCTTATTACATGTAAATGGTAGATATTAATCAATAAGTTATGATTTAAAAGAAATCTACTGCTGATAATAATAAAAGCAAAAAGTACGATACGACCGTTTCGTACGCCCGCCCATACAAAGCTTTTTCCTAATTTCACGCAGCTTTTAAAATGTCTTTTTTAATTTTCCTCTTGTTCTACAAAACAACAGAGTCATCGAGGGTAAACAATTTTTGTTTGTACGGGCTTCGGCGACTTCATTAGTAGAAATTAAATTTTGTATCCTACGTTAAGCCCTTGTATATTTTTGCGTGCCGGCGACCGGCGACCGGCGGCCGGCGGCCGGCAGCGGCGACCCTCCCATCTCGTCACCTTTTATTGAATATTGATCCATTGTATGCTGCTGTTGAACATCAGCACTATTTTGGGAACAAATAAAATTTGTATTCCTAATGTAACTTTTTAAATTTTTTAATGGTCTTTACTTTGAACAATTAGACGACAAAAAAAGGATTATCTATTATCTATTATTTTTAGTTCCTTTTTCTGTATCATACTATTTCATATTCTATATATCTAAACATGATCAAAATCACAAGGTAACTCTGGTATAGTTGTCATAAACTAGTAGTTGGCTACTTTAAACTTTAAAAATCTAGATAATTATGTATTAAATCGTACTTAAAATGTCCAACAATACAAACATCGTTAATAAATTTTATTATACACTAGCGGCCCGTCCCGGAGCACGGACACAACCCGGAGACAAGTGGACATTTTTTCAACATTTTAAAAAGTGGTTATTGTGACATAACGATAATAGTTGAACATATAGTATCGCCAAGTTTTTTTGTAGTTATTGATATTTTCTTCAATATTGTAGAACATACTTTTGTTCTATCACCAATAGTTTTCGCAACGCACGCGATGAAATATATTTTATAGCATTTTTTACACCTTGAGTAACGTTACTAAAGTTTTAGTAAGGATCCCTAATCTTTTCTAGCAATAAATATAGCTTATGTTACTCAGGGTGGATGTAGCTTTCTAATGCTGAAAGAAATTTAGAAATCGGCAAAGTAGTTTTTGATTTTATTTATTACAAAAATACACACAAAAATACAAATCTTTCCTCTTTATAATATTAGTGTAGAAGAGAAGCAATACGAGGATAAAAGTATGTCGCGTTGAATTTTAATACACTCGGAGAAATTAAAGCAAAGCATTCGGTACTCCAGCGACAAACGACATAATGTTCGTACATCCAACTGATCTGCATGAATTACAATCAGAAGTATGCACATTACCTGCATCTCTCATTTCTTTATTTTCTTCTTATTTATGATTACAAGAATATTGCAACAATTCTAAATTACTTTTATTATTTTTTACAATAATCCTCTTAAGAAAACAAGACAGTAGACCGCTACGCTCACTTTGCTCCGTGCGCCTGTTTTTGCAAGGGAAAGCTGCTATCTTTCTGTGCAAATATACTGTAATAATTGAGCTTTCTACCTTTTTTTACAAGAATATTTATGTCTTTTTAAAACTTTGTGTTTAATTACACTTTTGCATTACTTTGGTTAATTCTGTTATTCTCTTTTTGTTAGGTAATTAAGATAAATACACCTTTTTTTTTTTGTATCCGCATAACATTTAATTTACATTATGTTTTTTCTTACAGTGTTATTAAAATATAAAACAGTGAAATTTTATAAGTGTACTCGTTTTATATATCATTGCAACCAGACTTCATTATGTTATGTTTTTATTAAATTTTCTCGTCTAGTTTCTGTATTACCTGGAACCCATGTATATGAATAATCACGGTGCAAACACGAGCCAGACTATAATACTCGTACTAGTGGTAGACTGACTAGTCGAAAAAATCTCAATAACAAGTGTATTTCTATACAAAAAAAGTCTTTAGTTGTGACAAAATGCAACGACGAATGGCGATACTTTATGCTTCGTACATTGAATATATGTGAACTTAAAAGTCTAATTGCTCAAGGGTCGGTACAAGGCAAACGTTCTCGGAGTAGATCACCAACGCGATGGACTGACCTCATCAAAACGGCCACACAGCAGTCTATTGTGGAATGCTCTCGCTCGGCTGTGAGCAGAAGTAGATGGAGACGCATTGCGAGGACCTCAGTCGCGAAGGAGGGCCTCATCGACGATCCACTATCTTCATAAAAACCACGACCACTCTGTCAGAAGAGTACGACTGAAGAGAGAGAACTTAAAATGCGCAATTGAAGCAAAATGTATTTGCAAACAACAAGTCGATAGGAGTAGAATGGCCGCAGCGACAAACAGCGCGCTGGTTGCGCAGTGCTGCTCGCGGCACAGCCGTGAACCGCGCTCATGAATAAGGCCTCCTATTAAGTTCGAAACTAGTCGGACAACCCCGAATTTATAACGTAAATATACTCGTAGTCAACATAAATTATTACAAGTAGATTTTACTTCACCACAAACAGATTTTTGCTTTTTAACCTGCTAAGAAAAACTGCTGCTTTAATCAAATAACAAAAATAATATGGATTTAACACGAAATAAATTAACTTATATTTAAAAATATAAATCTTCAAATAGATTCAGGTTTGACGACGTATGTCGCACAAAAACTACAGATTAATTGAAAACCTCCAAGTTTTGAAAATCGTTTTAATTTATATATGGTAGTTACATAATCAATCCAGTTCCCTTTCTTCATTGCTATATATGTAACTACGTTGACAACTGTTGTACTTGCCACAGGACCGGCCGTTGGCGCACAACGTGACGTCACGGGTGCTGCACAGCAACCAGAGCCTCGTGCTGCAGAAGGTGACGCGTCACAGCAGCGGACGGTACGCCTGCTCCGCGCTCAACGCCGAGGGCGAGACTGTCTCCAACGAGCTGCACTTCAGGGTCAAATGTGAGCATCCTCAAATGGATTTTATTTATTTAACTTAATTTACTTAGGTACTTCTGTCCCATTCGTGTGTCAACGGTAAAGCAGTTGTGTTTCGGTTTGAAAGGTGGGATATGGCAGTGAATTTACAGGGCACAGAAGAATAACACCTGAGTCCTCAGGAATGGCAATGCATGGGAGATATCATGGGCGAAACAGCATATCTGTTATGTCCATGGTACTGCTCTTGTCTATAGACGATGGTTACCACTTTTCATCAGGTGGGCCGTCAGCTTGTTTGCCATTCTAAGTTACATAAAAAAAAGACACATTTGCTAAGTTGTTTATTAGAATTTAAGTATTTAATCAGTAAAACTGAACACATTTTACAACGAAACATGGCTTAATAAACATTAATTAGATACCCGTACTTGTACCTCAAAAAAAATTTGTTTTTGTTTTATTTTAATTAATGTTTTTCAAGCCGTACTCATTTGAAAAAATATTACTATCCTAGTAGTAAATCTTATCCTTTTAAATGTAACCAAACATCGCAATTAATGGAGCTAGGTATTATTTAATAATTTATTTCTAAATATTACGCCCTCTGTGTGACACTACACTTGACTACTACAAGACTGTCTTATTGTTACGCTGTAAATCTTATTATTATATATCTATTTTAAAGTAAAACTAAAACTATTAAATATATAAAAGACTATATCTGCATCAACCGGAGTATTTATAAATGTTGTATCAAACACACAGATATAATTTATTATAAAAAAAACAGCAACTTTTATCATTCAAAATTGTCTAAGTTGTATAAATATATATATATATATATATATATATATATATATATATATATATATATATATATATATATATATATATATATATATATATATATATATATATATATATATATATATTGGGTACGAAGACAGGAGTAACCCCGGCAGTGATCAAGTAATGACTGAAATGATGATTATGGGAGTAGACCCTATGGAATGGAAAAAAAATTAGGTACCAAAATCCGTTTCCGTTCAAAATTAACAGCATAATATACAAAATATATTAAAATACAAGTATTACTACAGTAATTGATGTTATATTATCATACAAATAAAAAATGTACGCAATTAAATGCATCAAATACAATTAGAGTGATAAAAGTGCATCAGTTTTAGATACTGCCATAGATAGATCCTAGTTCAAGCGTCGGGCCGTTAGAATTCATCGAACATAATATTCTTGAAAACAAACTTAATGAGTCTTGAAACTTGGCATGAAAGTTCAGCGCTAAATAGAAAACTCGTCAACAAGCTGGCTTCATTACGGCACCTCTCGAAGCTCATTGAAAACAATCGACGCAAATCTGGAACAATGCGAGGTAGCGACCCACACTTGAGGCGCTCCAAATTAATTAATCGCGACGGCCGCGCATTGTCCCACAAATATACCGCACAAATTAAGGAGCACCGCGGCCGTGCCTGCCCTCCCACCGCGCCCCGCCGCACCCCGCACCCACCCGCAAGCTTCGCACCTCGGCTGTATTATCGCTCTCGCTCCGGGAACTAAACTTTCCTCTAATTGTTTTTTCTCCGACGTTTGCCTTGATGCCTTCTGAAAGGAAATACTGAATGGCTAAACTTCCTTGTTTCGCGATTCGAGACTAAATGGAGTTGGTTTGTGTTTTTATTGGAATAAGTATTTCTTAACAGTTTTAAAGACGCTATTTAGTATATTAGTCTGTAATGTTGATTTAGTTGAGTTTATTGGAGAATAAAATAATTTACGTTATTTATTGCTTTTAAGTTTACCGCGCAGTTATTCATTCATCATTTCAGCCATTGTTGAACATAAGCCTTCCCCATAAGGGGACTCTTGCCAGTAGTTGCCAATTGTAGTAACCGCAGTTAGGCATTCAGAGATGTTTGAAAAGGGACGCTGCTGCCCATCCTTCTACCATTATGTTTCTTTAGTCGCCTTTTACGACACCCATAGGAAAGGAAGAAGTCGAAAGGTCTATTCTATGCCGGGACCACACGGGCAAGAGGAATATTATTTATTAATAACATTGTAAATATTGTAAAGAATAAAAAAAAATATTTAGTCTATTAGTATTCGCTAATTTACATATTTACAAATAAAGTGATATACGCTACAAAAACTTTAGACAAATTAGATTAAACTAATTCATTCAAATCCTTATTTTTATATCATCCTTATCCTTTATATTACCCTTATTTTAATGTGAAAATAAAGGTAATTTTATTTTTATTTCTAAAATAAACTTCTAACACATACTCGATCTCACTACTTCGAAATGCTACCGAATAGGATCGAGAGAATTCATTTGGAGAAAACACAAGCAAGTCGTAGACAGCGAGACGATTTAAATGGCAAATTTTTCCCCCCTAATTTATAGAGCCGCCTGAAAGGATTTCTAAACAATAGTCAATTAGAGTGCGGATTGGATTGCGGTGATTAAAGTCAGCTCGGTTGCCGAAGAATAAATAAAGGATATAAATTAAAGTCCCGTTAGTAGTGAGGCGCAGGTGAGTGGGACATTCCGCGATGGCGGTGTCCCGCGCTCGCGCCCGCGCCCGCGCCCGCTCTCGCCTCCTCTCCGCTCTCATTTTCAGTAATAGCTAGCTATCTGTTTCACCGATTGTAAGGTATAATCCAGACAAAATAAGATGGGATTTTTAATAGCAAATATAACTGCGGGTGACGCTGTCATTTTTCAGAAGCGTATTGTAATGAAGTCGTTGCTACGCAAGTACGTTTATATACTCGTGTTTTGATTAAACCGATTACTCGTGCAGTGACTGATTGTGGTTATTATATTTAAAAACCGTACGATTTATTCAATCTCATTTTAATTTCGGTTGTTATGATATTATGAGAAAATCTTATGGAATAAGCAATAAAAATTTGAATAAAGATATGTGTATATTTACAGTAGATGATTCTTGTAAGAATTTAAATGAGATGTACCATCCATAATTTTACAAAAATGATCAACTATATTAATTAATATTTAAGATTCCATATTCAAGACCTTTTTTTTAATGGATGATAATAGAATGGTAGCCCCATCCGCGCTATCGGTATACACCGGCGGGGCCCCAGTGAAGTATGATAGGTGAGGATGAAGCAGGTCAGTTAGCCCATCGTGACGAATTAAACAAGAATTGTTCATGATGGTTTCCAGGGGGAACCACGTGGAGATCGACCTAATAGGGCATATTGCTAGTAATGGGGCTGTCAAACCTCATTGCTAACAATCCCTATCCCCCACATTCAAGACCTTGATATGTATAAATAGTAAAAATTTTTTTTACACTAAACTCAGTTTTCAATATGCTATTTCAAAGATCATGAATAGTAATACTCTGAAATAATACAAGGAAAAAAATAAAGAAATACCTAACAAAATGTTTTGACAGATGAAAACATGTATTTCAGTAGTTAACAAATCCATGCAAACTTTACATAACATATACGAGGGTTCCAAAGCAACCTACTGAAAATAACATGTCGAAACCCATCGGGGACATAATAGCGGCGCGTTTGAGTCCCGCACTATGGCCGATCCATTATTAATCGCGAGCGGGACGTAATTGCCGCGTCCCTCGTCCCAACCCTCGCAGCCTTGCTCGACCTCGGCCTTGCGTTGCACTCGCACGACCGCACTAACATTACATCCGCTACATTATCAGCGGAATTCGCGTTGATAATGGCTCAACGTATCCGGTCGCTCTATCGTGACGAGTCACTCGAGTGTAGGGCACCCGAGTGACTCATCATTTGAATAGAGTTATGCTAAAGCAACCTAAACTTGTTTGTTTTAATTTTTCATTAATTGAAAAAAAAATCAATGCGGATTTTTTGTGAAAGGTAACACAGAAATTATTTTATTGTTATAATTATTCTAATCGAAGTATAACTTAACAAGAATGATGGGTGATCAAGAGAATTTAAATTAAATAGAAATTACATCATCGTCATCATATCAACCTTAACTGTCCACTGCTGAACAAAAGCATCGATTTTGACTTTAAATGATTATAATCTTTAACAAAATGCAAAACAAATGTATTTAAAACTTTCATATCAATTTTCTTAATGTTTCCTATGCACAGACATTGTATAATTCCAATTTTACTACAATGTTATGAACGTGATGTAATATCTATTTAAATAAGTATCATATGAATTCTGGAGAGTTGGTTAATTTCCGCACACCTCCGTCCAATTTCACGGCCAATTAGGTTGCGTTACAAACGGCGTCGCGGCGCGTCGAGCCGCGTGTGGTGTACCCGCTTCTAGCTAGCCTCACGTACCATTGAGAACGGGCGCTCGTAAACCCTCGGATCAGGTCCGCGTCACTTACAACCAGAGAACACGTTTGTATAAAATCTATGCGACCACTTCATTGACTTTGAAGATTTTACGATATAAAATAGGTTTCACATGATGCATATCAATATTGATACTTTTAATTGAAGAATATTGTAAATATTTTGTACACTTCTATAAGTATTAATTTATTTTGTGTCGATACTATTAGATGGTTACATAGATACATTTTCTAATAACGTCAATGTAAGGCCAGTGTCGACTCTTAAATAATCGGATGCTAATTAACGTTTTTTTTTTTTATATATATATATCAATACATAATCGTAAGTCTCGCGCGCTGACCGTCACGTAACAGCATTTCGTCTGATGAGATTCACAGGATCCTATTAGAGGGCCCACTTAACGTACTCTGTGCAATATTCCTCGCATGTCACCGTTCATTTGCCGGGAATTGCCGTGAACTATCTCCCCTTTTTACGTGATTCGATATCTTTCGCGAGGGACGACCCGGCCGATGCCCGATAGTGACAGGTTGACTTCGTTTTATAGATTTATCTATGGTTTACCTGTACGGAATAACATGGGTGTATATTGAAACTGACTTCAAAAAAAATAAGTTCTCAAATGGATTTTATTGTTTCCTGTGTGCAAGTTACTCGATGCCTTGAGTAGGCTTTTTTAATCGATAGTTTTAACTTTGTTGCTTTAGAACTAAAGACGCTACAAAGCAAAGATCTACTTCGATCAATCAATTCATAGCTGAGACCTTGTAACAACGTCGTAATATCGGAAGCTCACAAAGATATATTCATAGTGAATAAATAACCCTACTTTGCTGTGCTTCAGTTTAAAGGGTTGAGATATACGAATGTATTTATTTATTTCAAAATTACTCACCGCACTTACAGTCTCCCAAAACGTGTAGTGAGCCATAGGTTTATTTTACAAACTTACAAATTTTGTAGAACATTTTAAAAATATATCTATTTTGTCATTAAATATATCAATATCTGGCTGCTGAGCAATCAGAGAATTGAGCAAAGAAATATCCTGATAAGTGAGAGCAAACTGAGCAGTACAGGTGCGAACCGACGGTGCCGATAGTAATCGACAAGCACGCAATCGCACGCAGCGTTGGAATGCGTGCAAAGAACAAGGTACAAGGTACGAAGCCAAAAACACCTAAGTATTCAGGAATGGAAATGCATGAGGAGTACTATGGGCGTTACAGTATTCTACAATGTTCATAAGGCTGTTCATGTATATAGACAATAATTACAATTTCATTTCAGATCACACTTCGTTACACATTGTTTCATATCGTTACACATCATGACAAATTGTTGCGCAGACTCGCCGTCGTGCCGCAGCGGTGGCGTGGCGGTGGTGGGCGCGGCCCGCGGCGAGTCGGTGGTGATCGTGTGCGAGGTGGACGCGGATCCACCCGCCGCCGTCTTCAAGTGGAAGTTCAACAACTCTGGCGAGACCATCGATGTCGCCGCTGATCGATACACCTCCAATGGCAGCGCCTCCAGCCTCAAGTAAGTCACCCTCCCACCTCCCCTTTTTATACTAGCTTTCACTGTTTCTATCCAGCTGCCATTCATGCAATAAATAAATGCAAATCAAAATATTTAACCCATGTTGTCGTTGTCCTATCATTCTCTTTTACCAGCATATTTTTAACTTCATTATATGCTACCCATTCACTATACGGTTCGACAACCTGACTAGATGATCCTACGTATAAATTTTTCTTTTTATCTGATTCCTAATATGTAGAAAGAATATGTAGAACTAAGAAACAATGGCCTTTGCCTTTCTGCATACCTCTTTATCAAACTACTTTTGAAACTCCTCTCAAACATGTGCGTTGACTCTGGAGATTCTTGGCGTCTTCTTAAATCATCACGCAAAATCAATATACCTATATTCTTGCACTGGTATACACTTTCTTCCATTTCATTCCATTTTCAGTGTTTATTTAAATATCATCATTTGCATATCATCCGTTATTACTGCCCACTGCTCATACATAGGCCTCCCTCATAGACTCTCATAAGGATCGATCCTGGACCACCTGCATCCACTGACTCCCTGCCATACTTCTGAGGTCGTTACTGTATTTAGTGGGAGGTCATCCTACGCTACGTTTGCCTTGTTTCTTCCCCATCGGTTGTACGTTCTTCAAGCTATGGTATGATACTAACTTATTGCCACTTTAGCTTGCTTATCTTTCTGGACGTGTCAGTTAATCTGATTCTTTTGTGGATATCCACATTTTGGATTCCATCACGCAAAGAAACTCCGAGCATAGCCCTCTCCATAGCTCGTTGAGTAACTTAAAGCTCTTGCATATGAATTTATTTATTATACTGCTGTCTCTATCAGTATAAAGAAGTGAACTACTACTAACTATAATACATCGTGTTGACCAGGTACACGCCCGTGGCAGACCTAGACTACGGCACCCTGTCATGCTCTGCTTCCAACGAAGTTGGTACACAACTCACGCCTTGCGTCTTCCAAATGGTAGCTGCCGGTAAGACTAAACATTTTTTAACACATAATTATTTCATATATCCGTGTATTGAGGGATTTTAAATAGAATGGTTCGCCATTTCTTATATTTGATGACGTAGAAGATAGCTAGAAGAACACAGTCGATATCTTGACAGCAAGTCATTCCGAACCACTGGGGGGAGAAGGGATTATTAGTACTACATATTATTTTTGTTTATTATATTTGTAATAATAACATTTTTGTGTACCTGTGCCCAGTTATTTTATTGTAAATGGTTTTCAAAGAGATAATGAAATCTTGATGAAGAATGTATACTAAAACTTCTAATTACAAAATCAATGGATACTTACATCATGCGACTGGAAAACTTTGAGAAAAGTTAGTAGGTATATCCGAATATTAAGATTTGTTTATTTATTTGTCAGGTAAACCCCATGCGCCTAGAAACTGCACCCTGTGGAACCAAACAGCAGAGTCTGTGGAGGTGACGTGCGTGGCGGGCTTCGACGGCGGCCTGCCGCAGAAGTTTCTACTCGAAGTGTACACCGCCGATGGCACATCACCCAGGTGGATATAAATATTTTTTCCTTTATTATTCCATGCAGTTATAGAATATCCCCCGCGAAAACTCAGGTTAAAGTATGAGCTCCTTACTGAGCTTTAACCAAAAGTAGTCTTTAGAAATTAGATAGCATGAAAGTCTGAGATTGTAAATGAGGATTGTAAACTGAAAAAATATGGATGCCACAATATAAAAATGGTCATTATAATTTTACAAAAAATTGATCACAGAATATTTTCGGTTCGGAAATCTGTGACTATTTAGAACAAAATTTTTAAATGAAAACCCTGTTAAATTTGGTTCTACACTTTGGAAAAATAATATTTAACAAATCTTTGAATAATGTATGTTTTATTACACTGCTGCCCACTCATTACTTTCTATGCCATTGTGTTAGGTTAATTGGAAGAGATCTCTTTTAGAGATAAGTTCAACGTAGCTTACATTATTTCTAATTGTTATTATTACTGTATGTTTTAATGCAGTTGTCAAGAATATTATGTATATTTTAACATAATTATATTAATATGAGATTAAAGGGATTTTAAAAAGAAAATAATAAAGATACAGATTTTTTTACAATTTATGCGGATCTCACCTGCGACTGTAAAATTAATATTAACCGAATAGAAAAACCGGTAATTGATTAGGTATGCAAAGTCCTCTGTATGTATTATTGAACAAGTGATTTATTTCGTTTAATTAATGATACATTCTAATACGGAATAAATCGTTTTTATATTCTACGTAATGGCTCTGTTTCACGAACTCACTTGGCGGCAATAAAAAAGGCATTTTAATAATACGAGCAGTCAGTACGGGCCGGAATGAGCGGAGACTCCGCGCGGAGGAAGGCGCGCGATGTTTTTAATATTACAAAAGCCAATCTGCTCTCGACTCGACACAGCGATATCACAACACCTTTTATGCCGTTTCAAAAGTCGAGATCAGAATGTTAGTCCTCAGCAACGGCAATGCAGAATGCTTCTCTTTAAACAACTCACAAAAACTGATTTTCCAATTGTCTGTATATTTTTAAGTACATTAAATATTTACATCGTTAAGTTATGAAACGATTTCCATGATTCTTTTTACAATCAAAAAGTTTTCTTTTGGGGTTGGTCCTATATTATTTTTGGGAGAATTGACGAAGGTTAACTTTCACCGCTTCAAGAAAAGAGCATATTTCTTTTTAAAAGGCCGGTAGCGAACCTACAATTCCTTTAGTATTGCGTATGCTCCTGGGCAACGGTAGTCACGTACCATCAGGTGAGCCGCATGCTTGTTTGCCTTCAGTGTTGTAAAAAAAGGTACGAGTGGCTGTTTTCATTGTCGAACAAACTCCTGCTTGTTACAAACCAAAACGTTCTTGTAGACAAAGATTTTGTGATATGGATTTCAAATATTTTACATCTTATTTGACTACAAAATGTCTCGTCTTCTATAGAGGTATTTTATCAGTTTTAAAACAATATTATTAATCAATATTTAATTACTCATAAGCGAAGTATTTTGGTGAGGAATATCTTATCAGATTTAGGATGAAATAAGAATCTCTTTTAGTAATTACATTTTTTCACAGAGAAATGTTAGGAAAATATCAAAGAGATTATGGACTGTATTCAAGAAGTGTTAATACGTAATAGAAAATGATTACTTTCTTTCACTAGCCGCTCTCAATTAGTGTTTCTGACAGTGTCATTATCCTCTGGCCATTAGCGATATGTCGAGACAGACTAACTTTAATGCCTAGTAGGCGCTAACGTATTGCAGTACCCAACATATAGTTATACAATATTCAAATACACATTTTGAGTACTTGTGATACTCGAATGTTTGTCGTAATTTTTAATAATTTGGTTTCATCATTTTATTCTCCTTTTTTCTTAATTGAATAAAAATTATTCCTTTAAAATAATTATTTTTACGCTTATTTTTTTTATGCTACAAAAAAAGGCAAACAAGGTGACGGCCCACCTGATGAAAAGTCGTAACCGTCGCCTATAGACATGAGCAGTACCATGGACATAACAGAGTATACTGTTTCGCCCATGATACTCCCCATGCGTTGCTATTTTTAAGGACTCAAGTGTTATTTCTCTATACTCTGTAAATTCACACTATATCCCACCCTTTAAACCGAAACACAGTCATACAAACAACTGCTTAACGGTAGAAACACGAATGGGACAGAGGTGCCCAAGCAAACGCCAAAACAATTTGTACAAAGTCTCCCTGTGGTAAAAAGAAGTAATCAATTTAAAAATTGGTTAAGGGTGAATGTACCCGAATATCCATACGACTACTTGGACAAGTATCCGGGGCAGCAGGTAAGTACCCGAGTCCTCAGGTTCGATATATTATACATAGTTCGATTCTTTTTCTAACGCTTACTAAAATATTCACTAGGCCGACTCGACACCTCACTACCAACTATGAAGATGTAATGTCATATTATAACAAAATGTAGGTACTCGTAGATGTTCACGCACCTACTTCAAAGTGAAAATCCGTGTAAACATCGGGGTCTCATTAAACTTGCTGAAACAAAGTTAATTATAAATTAACATATAGCAGCTCGGCCCGGCACAGTGCTCTGACATGCCATATACACTGTCGCTTCAATGTGTCCCTACCATTTGTTCGAATTCAAATTAAAAACAATATATGATTTATTATAATGGCATTGTCAGACATCATTGTAAATATATACAAAAAAATTATGGCAAAACATCGACACGCTCAAATAAATAAGTAATCCCATAAAACTCATAATACTACAGTTACAAGAAAAGACCTTTCTCAACACGTTATTTATTTCAATTGAATCAACTGGAAGTAAATATATGTGTACAATAATTACTAGCCGTTTCAAATGGTCGTTTCATGTCTGACAGAAATGTGGTGTGTGGGAAGTTACTACTTCCAGATATATTTTTATAATATAATTCACACTTCATTGAATTTTCTCCTTTACTCATATCAATAGTAGAAAATAAAGGTTGAATAATAGAATTCGGATCTGACGTTTCAATACAGTATTCAACGCCTAGTGCGAAATTGAAATTGAAATCTGAAACATTTATATTATGAAGTGTTCACCGCGATATCTGTGCTGTGGAATGAAAACTGGCGATTGAGATATTGTGTCCCGTAAGTTTTTTTTTTATACAACTTAGAATGGCAAACAAGCTAACGGCCCACCTGATGGAAAGTGGTAACCGTTGCCTATAGACATGAGCAATACCATGGACATAACAGAGTATACTGTTTCGCCCATGATACCCCCCACGCGTTGCCATTCCTGAGGACTCGGGTGGTATTCCTCTGTACCCAGTAAATTTACGCCGTATCTCACCCTTCAAACCGAAACACAGCCATGCAAACAACTGCTTCACGGTTGAAACACGAATTGGACAGAGGTAACCAAGCAATCGACTTTTGTACAAAGTCTCCCTCTGGTAAAGTTTTATTAATAGAACCAAATACTACCAAGCGTTACCATTCCTGAGGACCGAACTCCGTGCCCGATAATTTCATTGCCTTATTCCTTGTTCACCATCCAAACATCCGTATAGTCTGTCTTTTTTTCCAAAAATTGCTAATTCGACACGCTCTTGACAGGTATAGATTTTAGCTACAAATAAATAATATAATTATTAATGTACCGTTTATATTTATGATAAAACATTAACCGTTTAGTAATAAATTTATATTTTAAACTCAGTCATATTGATGAATCGTCCGCTGTCGTTTGATCATTTCTTAATAGATTAAACGTTTTGCATTGAAAGGTCTCATTCATTAGCGAAATAAAGTGAGGGTCGTATTGCTATTTAGAGATCAATTATAGAACCCGAAAGTAATTTTGCATTAGATAAACAGGAAAAGACTTACGTACTTTGACTTGCTTCGGAAAAGAAAAATCGATGGGGAGCGAGCGTTGCTTTGAAAATCTGTCTTGGCAATTTTATAGAAGTCAGTTACAATTTGTGATCCTATGCTCGCAAGGCTGTTCTAGTTTAACCACTTTTTAAGATACTAGTTATATATAGCCTATAATCTTATTTTTAAGCATCTATCCTGACTAATTTTATAGATGTAAATTAATGAGTAGCCTCTAGTGGTCTTACGAGCATTGACTGTTTTATTTAACAAATTTTTATAATAGATTTACATGTACCCTTACACTTGTAGTTTAATAGTCAACAGATAATAGTCTAAAATTTTACTTATATCTGCGAACTTTTTTAAATTTCCAGATAATATCTTACAATCTTACGCTTGTAAACTTACCTTGGTTTTAGATGCTATATAATAAATAACCCTTGCAAGAGAACACGTAAATCTATCGTAAAAACTTTTTAGACGTCAGGTAATAACTTCTAATCTTACGTTTGTAAATCTATCGCGGCCTCAGTAGCGCCGTACCTCCGCGGAAGCGGCTGCAGGCGCAGATCAGTTATGGTCTGTGGGCTGGCGTTATCTCTCAGTAATGGCGCGTCATTTTTATCTGGCGGAGTATCGCGGCGGCTCATCTCCAACGGCATCACAAAGCCTTGTTATCTCCGTGTCGTTTCACTAAATACGCGGACCGAGATCTCGACGACTTATGTACATTAATACGTACTACTCGTTTACGTAGCAGATATTTTTTTTTTTAATTCTAATAATAGTGCCAGACCTTACATTTCCTTCACCTTAAAAAAATTTGTTTTTGGGTACAATCAAATCAGATTTTATTTACAGTTCATTCAACTAATTGCCAATGACAATTAATATTTAATTGTGAAGTTAACAATATTTACACTTCATCTAGCATTCATTAATATTAAATTAATTAAATCATTTATCATAAAATGTGTTAGCTAAAAATTGCGTTTATGTTTATTACTCAATTTTACTTAAATGGCTGAATAGATTTGAATAGAATTTGAAAACATTGTCTGTCATATTTTTTTATTATAAATCATGCGACCAAATCTACGAGGTAAAGTATGGGTATATTTTTTAGTCGTTTTATGATGATAAAAAAGGTATTTGACCACGCGGTTTGTATGAAGGTTTCAAAAGTTACGATTCACTCAAATTTTAGATAAATTATTTTAATTTTCAAGCTATTATATATACCCTTTCACCTCTTCTTATTTTCTTCACCTCCCTAATTTTTCTCTTTTAATTCTTTTCTTCGTAATAAATTAATTATAAAATTAAATTAATTATAATTTATAATTCTAGATAGAACTATCTTATTATAACATATCATAGCAAGCTGTTACTCAACCGTTTTGTTATCCTACCGACGAAATAAAATTAGATTTCGCTCGTATAAAATGATATTGTTGTATGCACCAGTTTTCAGGGGAGGTTAATAAATATAAATCAGGTGTATTCATTGTACATTTATGACGTTACATCCGTCTGACGCCATTTGCACGGCGCGCGTTGTAATCCACCGGGAATGCTCTGTCATTTATGTAATTTTTGTTTCTATGCTATTGTCGAGTGAAAATTGCTCATAGCCGCAAACCTCCAGAGCGCCATTGACTTGTTCACGTTTAGAAAACGTAAAATGTATTTATTATAAAAACGTGCTAACAAATGCATTCTATGCCGTACGTCGGCTTAGGAACTCTTTATTTCACAAAACTATGCCAAAAATTAATATATTAATATTACTATATTATATCTATTTGTAATATTATGTATAATAAAGTATTTAATAAACAAAATTGTTACAATTGAAATCAGATTTATTGTAAAAATTGTTAATGAAATAAATAACATTAAAAATTTGTTGTACACAACAGCCGGTCTTCTTATAGTACAAAGTTCATGGAAAACAAAAATAAATTTCAAGATTCACAATCGGTTCACACTTGATACATTTTTATAGTAAAATATTTAGGTATCGCAAATGTTACCTTTGTCTATAACTTAATAATTCCATAACTTGGAGGAATCTAACAATATCTTTATGCACAACTTTAATTAAAATTTAAAAATTTTTAAACTCACGTCAATCTAGATAATTGGTATCCATTTTAATATGCAAAAATTCTAAAAATACCACATAAGAAAAAATAAAACAATACAAAGTAGAGTATAATTTACTGCCCCTCATAAGGCTTAAAAACATATAAATCACTTTTATGTGAATTCGCAACATATCTACGCTGATCTAAAATAGAAGGTAACCTACCTACAACACCTCTTGGCTACAGCTCATTTAAAATTTTTAAATAATCAATACTCAATTCCAAATAGAGTAAGCAGACGTATCGAATGTATAGTCGAATGTTGTTGTTAAAATGAACGTAAAGTTATACACACCTTCGACGAAGTTTCGCTTAAATAAATTTAACTGAATATACGTACATTAATCTTCAGACCAATATGTTTTATTGGCGATGTCTTATTAAAGAGATCGTCAGAGATTTAAAATGACACACAAATTTTTATGTCTTGGCCACAATTAAACTCGCGTATTTTATAATTGTTTGGCCCTTTAATCTAATTTTTAAATAGACAACTCGAGTTTATTTATTTATTCTTTATTGACCATATTACAATTTATGTCTATTATAAACTTATATGTATATCAAAAATTGTCTCTTCTTTCTGTTCAGTTTCAACCAGTCTTGCTAATATAGACGGAATCTCATCTGATATCACCAATGGCGGATTTGCAGTCTTGGCCGCCCTAGATCCTAAAGAATTTACTTTTTTGCCTACTTTTATCGAAATCGATTCAGAAATTTAGTTAACTATAATATCTGCTAGTTTGTAATATTTTCCAAGGTTTCTTTTAGTTACACGTACTTTGAATTATTTCTTGTTATCATAAGTAATTTTTTTGTCACGATTGGCCGCCCCTAATATCTAGCCGCCCTAGGCCCGGGCCTCCTGGGCCTTAGGGCAAATCCGCCACTGGAATACGCCACATAGTACTGTAATGATGCAACGTATCCAAAAATAATGCTCGATTTTATTTTCCAATTCCTCGTCGTGCTCATGCCACGCCCTTTAAACCACAGGAATGTGATCAATATGACAGCACGGCGAAGTTTACATTTTACTTCGTTGCTTTTTGGTATTATAAATAGCAAAAAGCCATCATATTTGTTCGTTAAATTAAAATTTACACAACGCAACAATAGAGTCAATTCTCTTCTACGTTGTCCACGTCACAGAATTACTATTTTTCGTGATAGCTTCCAGTATGCTGTCACGAAATACTAGAACAATCTTTCACCACCAGCTGGGAATACTAAATCGCTTATTACTTTTAAATAATTGTATAAAAATATCTATGTACTTAATTTACTTTCACACTTTTATGTTGATTTTTACTTTATTTTGTGTTGCACAATTTGCATTGATTTGTTCATTTTTATTAAATTTTGAAATATTATTATTAACATAATTTTATTTAATCTAATTTTTGTTACTATTTATATACATATATATAATACATTTAATATCCTACATACACATCTAGTTACATATGAATCACGTTTATCCAAGATCCTCCGAAAACAAAGTTTCTGTTATTAGTTTTGTACGTATTTTGCACACCATTTTTTTATTGCCAACTAGGATCAGTATTTTTTTTGTTTCATTTTAAAAAAAATTTTTAATTTTTTTATTCTCTCTCTTCAACAAATTGGTGCCACTGACAATCAGCGTCATGTTCAAAAGGACGTGGCGTGTAGCTGAGTGACACCATTTTAGTGCTTTTCTTTTGCTTTTCGTTTATTGTTAATTATTTTCAATCGACTTAAAAAAAAGGCAATTTCAATTCGGTTGTATTTTTTTTATATATTGAATTACAAGATAACAAATTATCTTGCAATTCCATCAGTTATAAACCGATTTGATTGTCTTTGTCTGAAAGGAAGTACTTATAGTTTAGTCCCATAAAAATTGTATCAAACTGGGTGCAGTAGTTTAGTTTTTAAATCAGAATACATAATTTTACCACATTTGTAATCCTTTTTGGTTTTTGGAAAACAATTTATTTATTTGTAAAGTAATTAAGTGTAAAATTAAGCATTAAATAAATATTTCTTTCTTGTTTCTTTCTTACTGTAGATAATACAATAAAAAGGAAGGATCTGATTGTTTGCTTATTATGAATAAAATCCAGATTTAATCAACTGATTTCAAAAATTCTTTCACATATAGAAGCTACATTATCAGCAAATAATATAGTCTGTATTTTATTTCCGTGAGAAAACCAGGCTAGATCGCTAGTATCTAATAAGTAGTAAGTACCTATTTAGGATTACCAAATGCAAGGTTTCGTAAAATGTTTAAAATATTTAGCCCAAATTTAGCCCAGTTTCATGTATTTCTACCTCAGCGTAGCCTACGTAATGACGTTTGAAAAAGTGGTTGAGAAATTTGCCAGATGATAGTATCCCTTCCATGGTGTAACTGGGAACACATTCGCTCCGGATAGTTGAGAGACGTGGGTTTAAATCCCTTCGGATCGAGCTGTCGGAGGGTACATTTTTCAACCTATTATTAAAGATTCCCGAATTCGGTTAATACATTTTAAAATATTTGAGGAGGGATGTTGCTTCTTTATCTATTTTCTATCGAATTGAACTGATTCTTTCATCGCCCCTTTATCACTGTACCTCCCGCTATAATACTGTTCATGCACATTTTTTTGGGTGGCGAGATACCGCTGTCCAAGCATCCGTTCGATTCTACCTCGTATACGAGTATCTGTTTTTTTAATGGTTGATAATGAAATGGTAACTCCGCCTGCGCTATCGGTAGACGCTGGCGGGGCACCAGGACGATGTAAGCAGGTCAGTTAGCCCATCGCGACGAATTCCACTAGAATTAACCACGATGGTATCCAAAGGGAACCACATGGCGGTCGACCTAATAGGGTGTATTCCTGGCAATGGATCAGTTAGAACCCATTACTGACAATCCCTTGCTCCCCAATAATTGATAATGAAAACTGGACTTTCGCAAAATGACTCCTGATTCAGTAAAATATAAAGCAAGAGCAATGGTTCTCAACGTGGGGCCCACGCCCCACAAGAGGGCTTGCTAGTTAAGAGGGGGCAATAAAAAAATGAACTCGAAGCGAATTTAAGAAAAATGACATTGCATTTAAATGACTCAGAGCAAAAGAGTTGCTCCGAGTCATTTAAATGCAATGCTAAGAGTAAATATCGGTGCCAAATTTAACAAATAAATAAATAAAAAAAAAAGCTTTAAATATTTATTAGGTATAATTTCTTTTGACGTTACCAAAATATCAACTGGACGATTAGAGTTGTCAAGTAAATTTTGTCGAGAAAAATTATGTAGGGGGGCACAAAAATTTTAGAAATGCTCAAGTGGGGCATGATGTATGATTTCAAAGGGTACACAACTAACTGTATAACTGTATCGTATGTGGTGCAGAGTGAACTTGACGTCGGAGGAGCCGTCGTGGACGGTGCGCGGGCTGGAGTGGGAGGTGCGGTTCCGGCTGGTGGCGGTGGCCGTCAACAGCAAGGGCCGCTCGCTGCCCGCGCGCCTCGACGACCTGCTCTTCAGGGACCCGGAGAAGCGCACCGGTCAGTAAAGCATATATTGGAACCAATTTATTGCAAATTAATGTGGTATTATGTGGTATATAATATATATTATGTGGTAGCATTATAATGTGGTGGTAATTGATGGTTAAAAATTAGAATTTCCATATTTTGCTACAATTAATTGAAATGTTACAAATGCGCACTATAAATTTGACGAACAATTCAACGTAGTACAAAGCGAAAAGCTTATCCTATGTATATATTAGACAAATTAAACATATTTTATTTGGTATTCCACATCGTTTTTATTGTAAAGTAAATTATATAAGTAAATTATATATATATATATATATATATATATATATATATATATATATATGTATATTACACTTTATTGCATTAGATATAAAAAATCATAGATACAGTAAAATATTAATGCTAAGTAATGATCCTATTAATATAATAAATGCAAAAGTTTTAACGATGGATGGATCTATATTTGTTACACTATTACGCTAAAAGTACTAAATGAATTTGAAAGAAATTTGATACACGGATAGATCACATCCTAACTTAGCACATAGGATACTTTCTGTACTGCAACACGCAGTCGAAGCCGCGGAATACAACTAGTATTAAGTAATGTAATTCTTTACACATATAAAGTTTTTTTTTAAACCTTCCTCTATAACAGTACGAATCAGTATGGTCATCTGAGTATGTAATTAGATTTAAAAATTTCAAAATATGATTTTACAATGTTCATAGCCTGTACTGATAATTGATAATCTTTAAAATCCAATAATCTTGGACTAAATATTAAACGTCTACTAATGAAGTAATACTAAATTAATAAATCGTCATAGTCGTAGAATACTGACGGATCTGACAAAGATTACATATAAAGATCCGTCAGTATTCTACGAGTATGACGAAATGTGAAGTAATTGCGTCTAACACGCCGATTCAGATCAGCGCGCACCGCACTCGTAGCGGCAGCCTCCACGAGCCAAATACACATTTACAATCATTAGGCGGCTATTGAAACATACGAGTACCGTTCTCGTCCATAACTAGTTTTTGTTCTAAATCACTCGGCGAAACTCAATTTGGAGGGCAAAGGGAAGCGCGTCCCACGAGACGCGCGGCCCCGGGGACGAGCGACCCCGCGCCGCGCCGCTCTAAGTGCCGCTGGAGCCTCTCTATCCCAACGAATTATTAGCCGACGAGGGAAAACATTAGCCTTCGCCGGCAAATGTATAAGTAACAAGGAAAAGTGGCGGCTAAAACGCTCGCAAGATTTGATGTGGAGCCCGACTCGAGCGTGTCATGATCTCTTCACTTTACGCAGCGGCGCCGCGGCCGCTGAAGGATTTGCTTTGTGACACCGCCGTTTGGCGGCTCGCGTTAGGCTTTTAAAGCGCCGGATAAGACACTACAGATCTTATTATGGCGCGCTCGTTGAATAAATTAGCATAACGTTATTTTAAAATGGCCACCTTTATTTCGGCTTTACGACGAGGAAGCCGATGTGAGAGGTTTGTAGATGGTTTCTAAGAATAGAATTCTGAAAATAACTGTGATTTTTATCATATTAGAAGTTAAAATAGAAATAATTACTGTGATAAAATATCCACCAGTGATAATTTAAATATTTGCCTTAAGAAAGCGTGGGCTGAAAAATTATCTTACTTTTCATAGTCGACTATCCATATTAAATACAAATTAAAGTCTAGCTATGTCTTAAGTAAATCCAGTTGTCGTATCAGCCATAAACTGTGCTCTGCTGTTCATGCCCCCCCCCCCTCTCCATAAGGGGGGTTTTTAAATAGTTGCCACGCATGGCAGGCGGGTTGACAATCGCAGTTTTGCTTTTGGTGATGTTTTGAGAAACACGCGGATGCCCATCCCTCCACTTACGACACACACGGGAAAAGAAAAGGTGACCTATTCTATACGGGAATCTACACAAGTAACCAGTACTATTTATTAATTATTATTTATTAATTTACTCTAGCATGCCACGACATCATACAATTTTATCGTCATGTAATAATTTAAGAGCGAAATATGTACAATTTTATGAAGGCGCTTCCATTTTCGAAGAAAACAGGAAGCGTCTCAATACGTTTTGCTCTCATGTTATGCTATCACGATTATATTATCGTGACAGTGAATTAGTAGGATATCGTGCCGTGCATCGGTAATTTAAAAAGCGCATATTTAGTCAGGTATAAACACGTGGACAATAAGCAGCGTTGCGCGTGCGAGCGGCGCGAGGCCGCGGAAGTGTTCAGGAGATCGATAAGCCGTGAGTAGGGCGCGCGCTTCGCCTGCAACCTCAAGATAATCCCATTTTAATTAAACGAGGCTCGGATTTACCGGCGAGATTAATCAAGAGCCTCTCCTCTGAATGCCTCGGCTTGCTGCCGGCTCACCTCCGACTCTCAGACCCACTCGCGTGCCCTTGACTTAAATTACATCATAATCTCCATTCGACTCGCTGCCGGAACACATAGCATCTACTATTCGACCACTTGAAATAACACAAATAACCCCCCCCCCCACACCCCTCTCAACAACATCATAATTAATTCTTCAATTGTGACAAGACCAATTTTTTTATTTAAAAACCAAACCACTAAACCGATTTTGATAAAATTTCTATTGAACCAAACTGTAAATATATCTATTCAAATAAAAAGTAATTTTTTTAATTGAATTCAGTACTGACGGAGTTGTAAGGTAATATAAAAAAATACAACGGAATTGGCAACCTCCTTTTTTTTAAAGCGGTTCTATTTCACATAAGAAAAACTTTAGCTTTAGCCAAGGTTATGCATTTTGATATTTAAGAGTTTCCTCTTCTCGGTACATATGCAACTCGTGCATTCTCTTCCAGCCAGCTCTATCCCAGGCCATATCTTTGACCTCCCTATACGATATGACACCATGCGTTTCTTTTATTTTTCCCATGTAGTTATATTATTCCTCGTTCCTCTTCCCCTTCCTCTTTTGCCCTCTATTTTTCCTTCTACTATGTTTTTAAAGAAATCTTCATGGCATATAAGAAAGCCCAGCCTCTTAAATGACTAATAACATATAAATTATTACTAAAAATCAAGTTCCATTATCTGTTGCTAAACTAAGCAAGCTCTAAGTTGAACTAATTAAATCAGTTCCTAGTAATTAATAGTTGGAGTTACTAGAGCACTAACACTGTAATAGCCGTAAGTCCCATGTAAACTGCCGTAAAGTGGTTTACTTAGCTCTGTACGAAATAGCCCGAGAACGTTAGCGCGTGTTCAGCCCCGCCGCGCCGGTGCCCTTCAATTTTTCGCCTCGCAGAGTAAGGCCCTCCGGTACAGGATTACTTTCAATGTTGACCGAACATCAATCTGATTACGTTTACGAACATAATTTCAAAAGCAAATCAAGCTACTATCGCGTCTACATTAACTACAAGTGTATTTTAATTCACAAAAAAAAAAAAGAAATTTTTATTGTGGTATAGATAATCGTAAAGATAATTTACTCATTAGATGTATTATATGTAGGAATCAGCTAAGCTGCCGTCATTAATGTGTGCCGAGAGTTACCATAATGTACATTTATTACCCAACTAGCGGCCCGTCCCGGCTTCGCACAGGTGGACATTTTTCCATTTTAAAAATTTTAAAAACCGATTAGAAAAATATTAAAACCAATTACTTGCAAAACTGAAAAGAAGCATTTTGTTAAGATTTAAAAAAAGTAAATCAACTAAAAATCTAATTAGCTGACTAAATTGTGACCGATTTTAGACACTTGATACTCTATCTACATATATAATTTGGAATAAAATCCCTGTAGATCTACGCAGAGCATCAAGTAAGTATATTTTTAAAAGAAGACTTTTTAATTATTTGTTGAGTCAACAAAACCAGCTCTAGTTACAGGTCACTCAATAGTTATTATATCTCATAATGCTTATCGTTGTTTTAATTTATGTATATGTATGTATATATTTCATATGTATTATTTTATCCATATATATTAAAAGTAATGTTTATGTATTATATGTGCATGTCTTATGTGTATATTATATTTATATTGCCTTAATGTGTTACTATCATTGTCACATATTTTTCACCACATCTGCCCTTCATACGCTTTCCGTTTTTACCTAATGGTTAGCTGGTAGAGAATGCCATATGGCATTAAGCTCGCCATTTGTAAAAAATTTTATTGTGCAATAAAGAATAAATAAATAAATAATAATTTAAACATACAATGAATTACTCGTCTTCATCACCAGAACAATCGAATCTTCCCTGGACTGGACACAGCTCTCTCTAAAAAAGAAATAACTTACTATTACCACTACGTCCAGACGACTTTTTTAAGGACTTTATTTCGAATTTTACTTCTCTTACACTGATACATCAGTGTTATGCTTTTCACCCTGTCTACTTTTACAACATCTTATGGTTGAAAAGAAGTAGTGACATATTACTTGCCGGTTCTATCACCACAAATTGCAGTTATAAAATTATCAACATCCATTTTACTTGCATTTGACAGGTATTCAAGACTATAATCAGCTCATATTTGGAGATTCCCCGCAACCCCCGCTACCGTCGTCACAGACGTTTTGTTTCTTTTCACGTAGATTTCTATCGGCTCTTTCAGAACGACCGTGGCGTAACGCGGCGCAAACAATCAGAGGAAATTGAAAACTAACAGAACGGTGCCTGCGTCGAACGAAGCCAATGCCATAAAAAAGCAAAATGATATCCGTAATACAATCAACTAAACAAAGAGAAGTGAATAGAGTCTGAATTTTTGGGTTTATCATGATTATTTTAGTTTTTGTTCAACAGTCTTTTTGAATACAGTGTCGTGTGCAGGCATATTTGTAGATTTTAGTACTCAAACGTACCACATAATATTTTAACGTCTAATATTTATGGCAAAAAGGCCAATATTTCGACTTGGACTTTCTACATGAATTGACATCACTGACTGATTCTAAAGGCGATAATGAAACACAAAAATCAAGCTGTAA